GGAAATTTTCCCTCCATTGTCTGGTTGTTGTTGGGGCTGTGAGATTATATATCTCTGCTAGATCTCCTTTCAGGAGCACTGATTCTCTTTGGCATCTGGGATCGACTGTAGATGGGTGCCCCAGATTTTTGTTCCCCAGTTCTAGGTGGTTCAGGTAAATAATCATTCCAACCTATGGTCTCAAGGATCAGGTTCCACCCTTTCATGTCAAGGTGCATTCTACTAGATGAGTTAGTACTATTTTACATGAAGCAATGGTTTCCCAGATCTGAATGGCTGCCACCTGGTCTTCTGTTCACATGTTCTCTTAAGTTTTACCATGTGGACGTTTCAGCATCATCTGATGCCAGTTTTGGGTTTAAGATTATTCAAGCTGCCCTATCAACTGCAGGCAGACTTGGTTCTGTTGTTTTCTCTGACTCATTAGTGTTTGTTTATTGTGTTGCCAACCCATCAGTTGGACTGCTTTTAAATATGAGGAGGGTAAACGGCTTGCTGTGTCCCTCAATGCACAAAAAAATATGAAAAGATGTTTGTATTCGCCATAAAATCCTTCCTGCTCGGTGGATAATGGGTGCAATGTCAGGCTCCTGCAGACACGAGAAGAACCCACACCCGCTGTGATAGTGGGGGATTGTTTGTGGGCAGAGGGTGGTGCTTGGTTCATGCTACATCCTAAATACATGTCACATGTTACTATAGCTTACCTTAGCCTTTAAAGTGTTACTAAGCCCACAACAGTAACATCAGTCTGTATATGTAGTAAAGCAGTGCACAGGGCCAATCTGGGCTTTCCAGACAGAGGGTCAGGGGTTTTGCAGCCTCATAGGACAATCAGTGGAGAATGAAAACTTTTACAAGCTTTAACCAGTGCTTTGCTGGACACTGATGGAAGACACAAGACTGCTCTAACTACTGATGAGAATAGATATTTAGCAGTTTGTATTTACTTAAATAATTGCATTTCCATGTTCTTTGTATGTGGGAGACCAGATATAGTTTAGGACCGCTTTAAACTGAATGTCTGGAAACAGAGGTAATTTAGAATCCTTTTTGATTATTGGTGACAGGAGCTTGCCCTTTTTAATTCTCCCAAATTTTGCATAAATTTGATTTTTTTTTTTCTTCTAGGTGGGATTGGGTGGAAGCCTAAAGCCAAATCCTCGTTCTCTCCTTTGTTTTTTTTTTGCTTTAAATGAGTTGCAGATTAGCAAGGAGCATTCCTGGATTGATCAATTTTTCCAAAGAGTGTCTTTAGAGTGTCTTTTCCTTTCATCCAAAATGTCTACTTTTAAACCTTTGTGTCCACATTAGAACTCAAAAAGCTGCTGACAGTCATAAATTACTTAAGCACAACTAAAGTTGTGTTCAAAATAATAGCAGTGTGTTGAAAAAAGTGCATAAAGCTCAAAATCCTTCTTATAGCTTTTATTTCCATACACACAAATGCATTGGGAACACTACACATTCTATTCCAAATCAAAACATGAAGAAAAATATATTTAATTTGTGTTGTTCCTCTAAAAAATTGAAGAAAAGTGAATATTAGACTGTTCAAAAAAAAAAAAAAATAGCAGTGTTTGTATTCTTCTTTACAAACTCAAACATTCACTATATAAACTGAAAAATGTTTGAAGATTTTGCTTTCCTTTGAATCACTTAATGAATATTTAGTTGTATAAGCACTGTTTCTGAGAACTGCTGTACATCTGTGTTGCATGGAGTCAACCAACTTCTGGCACCTGTGAACAGGTATTCTAGCCCAGGATGATTGGACTACATTCCACAGTTGTTCTCTATTTCTTGGTTTTGCCTCAGAAACTGCATTTTTGATGTCACCCCACAAGTTTTCTATTGGATTAAGATCCGGGGATTGGGCTGGCCACTCCATAACGTCAATCTTGTTGGTCTGGAACCAAGATGTTACACGTTTACTGGTGTGTTTGGGGTCGTTGTCTTGTTGGAACACCCATTTCAAGGGCATTTCCTCTTCAGCATAAGGCAGCATGACCTCTTCAAGTATTCTGATGTATTCAAACTGATCCATGATCTCTGGTATGCGATAAATAGGCCCAACACCGTAGTATGAGAAACATCCCCATATCATGATGTTTGCGCAACCATGCTTCACTGTCTTCACAGTGTACTGTGGCTTGAATTCAGTGTTTGGGGGTCGTCTGACAAACTGTCTCCGGCCACTAGACCCCCAAAAAGAACAATCTTACTTTCATCAGTCCACAAAATGTTGCGCCATTTCTCTTTAGGTCAGTCAATGTGGTCTTTGGCAAATTGTAACCTCTCCAGCACATGTCTTTTTTTCAACAGTGGGACTTTGTGGGGGCTTCTTGCAGATAGCTTGGCTTCACATAGGCGTCTTCTAATTGTAACAGTACTCACAGGTAACTTTAGACCTTCTTTGATCTTCCTGGAGCTGATTGTTGGCTGAGTCCTTGCCATTTTGGCTATTCTTCTATCCATTCGAATGGTAGTTTTTCGCTTTCTTCCACGTCTTTCAGGTTTTGGTTGCCATTTTAAAGCATTTGCGATTATTTTAGCTGAGCAGCCTATCATTTTCTGCACTTCTTTATATGTTTTCCCCTCCAATCAACTTTTTAATCAAGGTACGCTGTTCTTCTGAAACTGTCTGGAACGACCCATTTTCCTCAGAATTTCAGAGAGAAATGCACTGTAACCAGCATGTACAACATTTGCTGCCTTCCTTCCTTAAATAAGGGCAATAATTGCCACCTGTTTTTCAAAGAATGAATGACCTCACTAATAGAACTCCACACTGCTATTATTTTGAACATGCCCCTTTCAATTAGTGATTCAATGACACAGAATCAGCAGCATGCATGTCATGACTGTTGGGTCTGTTGGATTTCTATTACTCTACTACAGCTGCTAGTAAATTATTTGCCATGTAGAAATATCATTTCTACCAAAAACAGTGATTGATCAGGTTAGTGATATCTGACTGCTATTATTTTGAACACAACTGTACATCTTTCAGTGGTCTTCCCAGATGCCAGGCTGTTAAGATCTGGCTAAGCTTGGACATTTCCACATCTTTCCCATTTATCTGTTACTGTTTATCAGTGTGCTGCCGTAGAGTATACTGGAAAGCAAAGATGACCCTTCTCTTTTCAAATGATTTGCAATGATTGCACAAAGTGTATTATCCACCCTACTTATGTGTTTGTCCTTCCTTTGCTGCTCTTTTATTTACTAAGGAGGCAGATTGTTCGTTCAAATTTTGTCTCTTTTCCTATTCTTCACAGTTATGCTGTTTCTTGCTGTCATGATGACTTTGTGGAAAGAGAATTAATGGTAGTGGTAATTAACATTTTCACTAGTGGTGCACCGAAATGAAAATTCTGGTTCGTAAACCTATACCGAAAATTCAGAATACATGTGGCCGAAAACCGAACCAAAACTGAAATGTCTCTGTATGTGGAGGCTCCACAATTTTTTTTTTTTTCTACTTTGATGTATATTTTTATTTTATTTAACTTATGATTTTAGTGCTATCACATAGGGGGCCAATAGTCCCCTACGTGATAGCATATGAGTGACAGGTCCTCTTTGTAGGGAAGAGGAGTAGTGGAGGGGGCAGGAGAGGAGCAGTGTATACAGTGAGGTTGCAGTGTATACAGAGAGGCTCCCTCACTGGCTGTCACTATATGTCAGTGCCAATTTTTAAATGCAATTGCCGGCTTTTTTTTTTCCACTATAGCTCACAGAATTAGCTGTCACTTTCTCCAGAGCTAAAGGAAACTTTGTCTTTTAACTTGGGGATTTAAACTAAAAGGAAACCTGGTTTCTTTTAGCTCAGGGAAAGTGACAGCTAATTCTCTGAGCTATAGTGAAGAAAAATAAAAAGTTGGTAATTGCATTTAAAAACCTTCCCTGACATATAGTGACAGTCAGTCACTGTATACACTGCTCCTCTCCTACCTTTCTCCCCTTCAGATCTGCAGTACACACAGTCTCCTGTATCGGCACCTGTATCGGCTACATTTTTCCTATTGGCAGAATGCCGATAGGGCTATTTTCGGACGATATATTTCAGAGGCAGAAATTTCGGTGCATCCCTAATTTTCGCTCATACCCAGTACCTTTTTGTAGCAAATTTGTCAGTGTTTTGTAATAAATGTATAATTGCATTAAAAATATTTACTTTTGTGTTGCCTTTGCAAGGTTTGCATAATTTGTAGAAAATTGGTACATTTTAGTAAGGAAAAATTTTTTTCTATCGTGTAACAAGTAGGTATCCATTTGTAAAAATTGTGCTGTGCCTGAAGGAAATTGCACATACTGTATTTGATAGTGGCTGTTCCCATGGGGAATATAAAGTTGAACTCCAGGTATGAACCAATGAAAGTGTACATAATACCATACCTGTCTGGTCCCTGCTATAGTGGTCCTCGCTGTTTTTCTGGGTCCCCTTGCTAGCGCCTGCCTTGCTGCATAGTAATCACAGGGGTTCAGCTGCTCTGCACAGTTGGTCACCATTCTGAGTATGCCCTGCATTTTTCTCGGTGAATGCATTCTCTAATTTGATAAGGGGGAGATCCAGAAGTCACTGTCCTGCTCCTCTACCTGCTCCAATCAAGAGAACACCTTGAATTAATTGAGAAAAATACAAGGCGTTCTTTGAATGGTACCCATGCTGAGCAAGCAACTGCCCCCTTATTACTACAGTATGTATCTCTCAACACATGACCTAGAAGACAGTGAGGGTCACTGTAGTAGCTGTGGCTTTTACGCTTCTACACAAGGATCAGACTGTTATGAAATATGTACGCTTACATTGGTCCAGGCTGGACCAATGTAACTTTACAATACAAACCTGTACTCGGAGTTCAGCTTTGATATTGCATGTAATGTTCAGCTGAATGCTAAAGAAGTCAATGAAAGCATGCTCTTTTATGTTAATCGCTTACTGCATGTTCTAATGCTCTTTAAACAAATTACTGTTGACCTGTTTGAGTAAAACAATGTCTTCTCTTTTTCTTTTCAGGTTTATTGTTGATCGGGTTCAGCGAAACCCAGTTGTATCCAGTGCAGAAGTTCCAGAGCTCAGGGCAGTGGAGCCAGCAAACCCATCTACAAAGAGACTGAGTGATTGCTTACGCAAAATAGGTGATGAGCTGGATGGAAACATGGAGCTGCAGAGGTATGCCTGTAGCTTTATTCCTGTAGAAAGCAGTTTTGTGAATTTCTGGAACAAGTACTTATGTGATTGAGAATTTCACCTGCTAGCTCCACATGCTCTTGTCTTTTTTTTATGTTGTCTAAATAAAAAGTTACTTTTTTTTTTTTTTTTTTTTTTATGTTGTCTAAATAAAAAGTTACTTTATGATTGCTAATTTTGTTCTTAATGTGAAAATATAAACATTTTAAACCAATGAAATAAAAAATTCAAGCTGAACTGCAGGATAAGCAAATATTGTCTAAATGCAGGAGGCATGTATTATCTTAATTCTTGGTGTCCTTTGTGTATTTGTGTTCAGTAATCCAGTGTGAAACTGCATTTGTACAGGAGCTTCCTGTGATAAAGATCTGCAGTGCTTTTCTCTCTCTTTTTTCACAGCTACTAGTCTATCTTACCCTGTAGTTTTTTGCAGGCAGATGATAGTGGGAGGACTTGCTGAGCCCAACCCGCACCTCTTGCTTTCTGCATAGGCTTTGTGAAGCATGTTTTTCTTGCCACTTTATCTTGGTGACAATTGAGGAATATATGTAAATGATAGCATAAATAAAGGTAAGGCAAGTGAGTGCAAAGCACAAAATATCGGCAGCTAGCATACAAGGCAATCCTCAGCACCTCAGATCAGAATACAAATAATTGGAGTATGCAGCACCATAAATAAATGATGTAATACTAAACACTAAATCTCAGCATATCCGCTGGAACATAATATCAACAAATTGAGTATAAAAAGTCTGATATGTGATGAATAAACACAGTAAAAAGTTCCTGTGGATTGAACACGTGAAAATATACACAAATAGCAGGAGCTTCAGATGTTCACTTGATCATAAATCCTGAAGAATCTAGTACAATAATGCACTTACCACAGAAACATACAAACTGAGCGTTGTATGCATGTCATCAGGTATACCATCAGCGACTGGAAAGGCCTGGACAGCAATGCGGACAGTTACTGGTCATCCACGGTAGACACTCGGGGGTATCAGCGAACACTCAGGGGTCACATCTGGTTCACCGGTGGGTCCAACGACGTCTAGCCTCCTTCTGGTACTTCTCCTGAGATGGTCCACCTTGCACGGCTCGCAAATAACGAGCCAAAAGGCAAAATGGTACTAATAGTGAAGCACGTCTTTATTCTGATAATTCAAAAATAAAAACAGCATACAGCTCACATTAGAGTGAACATCAGGTATTTTCCAAGCATGTTCAAGGATCCCTGGTAGTCAGTGGTTCCCTGGTGGTTAGTGGCGTCTGCTGGGTGTTAACTCTAATGTGAGCTGAATGCTGATTTTATTTTTGAATTATCAGAATAAAGACGTGCTTCACTATTAGTACCATTTTGCCTTTTGGCTCATTATTTGCGAGCCGTGCAAGGTGGACCATCTCAAGAGAAGTACCACCAGGAGGCTGGATGTCGTTGGACCCACCGGTGAACCAGATGTGACCCCCGAGTGTTTGCTGATACCCCCGAGGTGTCTACCGTGTATGACCGGTTACTGTCTGCAATGCTGTCCAGGCCTTTCCAGTCGCTGATGGTATACCTGATGACATGCATACAACGCTCAGTTTGTATGTTCCTGTGGTAAGCGCATTATTGCACTAGATTCTTCAGGATTTATGATCAAGTGAACATTCTGAAGCTCCTGCTATTTGTGTATATTTAACATGTGTTCAATCCACAGGAACTTTTTACTGTGTTTATTCATCACATATCAGACTTTTTATACTCAATTTGTTGATATTATGTTCCAGCGGATATGCTGAGATTTAGTGTTTAGTATTACATCATTTATTTATGGCGCTGCATACTCCAATTATTTATATGTAAATGATAGCTTTCTGATTAATCTGTATGGTGCCTGCTTTAATTCTGTTCAGCAGTTTATCCATTGGAGCAGAAGAGGGTGTAACCCCTGGCCACCGAACTGCCTCCATACTCTGCACGTCTTCCAATCTTTGAGATTCCCTACAAAATGTTTTGCACATTAAGGGCTCATTCATAGGTTCAGAGGCCCATACAGTAAGCAAGAGCCATTTGTTTATGCATTAGAGCAGTGTGCTTGCATTCAGCCCATGTTCGTCCATAAAGATGCAGTGGCTGTATAAACCCAACCACACATTAAAATTAGACAGGTGTGCAGGGACAAGTGCCGGGTCCGGTCTCCTAAATCCTACCTGGAGATGAAGACCACTGTTGTGTTGAGTATAGGGCCTGTGTCCTTAAAATCTGTCTCGGGTGAAGGGGGGTTGGAACTCCTATACCAGGGGTCTGCAACCTTTAAGACATAAAGAGCCACTTGGACCCGTTTCCGAGAGGGAAAAAAAAAGACTGGGGAGCCGCAAAACCATTGCAACATTTAAAACAAATCCGACACTGCATATATTGCAAAAAGCGCTCTGGTCATGAAGGGGGTTTAAGGGCCCAGTAAGCAAAGGGTTAATCAGGGCCACAGTGTATCATCATAATCACAATCATAGCCTTAGGTCAGTGGTGGGCAACCTTTTTTTTCAACTGAGCCAAATCTCGCCAAAACCACGATTAAAATTTATTTTGAGAGCCACATTTTTAAAACTGAAAATACATCCCCCATATAGTAATTCATCCCCCATAGTAATTCATCCCCCATAGTAATTCATTCCCCCTATAGTAATTCATCCCCCATATAGTAATTCATCCCCCCTATAGTAATTCATCCCCCCTATAGTAATTCATCCCCCCCTATAGTAATTCATCCCCCCTATAGTAATTCATTCCCATATTGTGTCAATTCACTTACCTGTACTCCGCGCGTTCCTCTCGCCGTGTTCCCGCGCAGTTCTGGTCTTCAGGGCGGACTGTGAGAGGAGAGGAGTTCGTCACGCTGCCCCGCCTACATCCTGACAGCCAATGTTTGCCACGCTCCGCGGGCCGGATTATAAGGTCCGCCGGGCCGTAGTTTGCCCATTGCTAGGCTAGCTGCAGAGTCCTGACTTTTGGGGCGGCCGCCCGAGAGGAGGGAGGGGAGCGGGCGCCCGGGACACACAGAAGAGCTGCATTAACCTCCCTGGCGGTATGATTCCTTCCGATTTTTTGTGCTGAAAGCGGTACCATTTTTTCGCATGGAAATAGTTTTTTATTGTAGGCTGTAATTTTTAGGAAAATTTCCCTACAAATCATTATCACTCAATTCTGCAAGTGGTTCTGATTTACTATCGCTGTTCTCTAGCCGGTCTAAAACCGCTTTTGACCTAAAGGGACGCTTTTTGGACGCCATGGACTTTTCTAAGTTTCCAGGCAGAAAGAACAGACAAAAATGCAGGCAGGGCACAGGACAAAGCAGTAGGGACAATATGTATTGGAAATGGGATGAAACAGCAATGTTTTACTATTGAAAATTGAAAAAAAAAAAAAAAAAAAAGACATTTTTTAAATTTCCCGCCGCCGGCGGCGCCCGTACGTCCCGACGTCACGGGGACCGGAACACAGAAGCCGGATGCCGGCATCGGCCGGAGGAGATGGCCGGGGACGCTGCAGAGGACACATCGCGGGAACGAAGGACAAGGTAAGTGCTGCAGGGACCCCCAGAGCAGCGCCGCATGGTAAGCCCGAGTGTAGCTCGTGGTATAGAAATTCTACCACGAGCTACACTCGGGAAAACCGCCAGGGAGGTTAAAAGAGCCGCGGCTTGCCGACCACTGAGCTACGGCAACCCTATTGCCTGTCACCTGGTGGGCAGTGTGCTCCGGAGCCGCAGCAAAGGTGAAAAAAGAGCCGCATGCGGCTCTGGAGCCGCGGGTTGCCGACACCCGTCCTATACCATGGATGGTGACACTTTAACCACTTGCCTACCGGGCATTTTTACCCCATCCCTGCCCAGGCCAATTTTCAGCATTCAGCGCTGTTGTATTTTGAATGACAATTGTGTGGTCATGCAACACTGTACCCATATGAAATTTTTATAATTTTTTTCATAAATTAGTGCTTTAATTTGGTGGAATTTAAGCACCGCTGGGTTTTTTTTTTATTTTTTGCACTAAAAACATAAAAGAACAAAAAATTTAAAAAAAGAAAAAACTTTTTCTTTGCTTCTATTATAAAATTTAGCAAACAGGTACATTTTCTCCTTCACTGATGTGTGTTGATGAGGTGGCACTGATAGGGCAGCACTGATGAGGCAACACTGGTAAATGATCAGGAGGCACTGATGGGCACTGACTGGCAGCACTGAGGAGTGACACTGCTGGGCACTTTTAGGTCTGCACTGATAATCAGTGCCCTGGTTGTCAGTGCAGATGTCCTCTGAGACACTTGCTGGTTACAGCGTAAGGAAAGTGCAGCCGATAACCGACAACTGTATTTACTTTGTGATCAGCTGTGTCATTGGACACAGCTGATCATGTGGTAAATAGGCCACTGTGATTGGCCTTTTACTTTGTCATGTGATCAGCTGTGTCCGTAGGACACAGCGATCAGACAGCGCCAGGTGCGTGCTGCTGGGAGTGTGTTTTGGGTGGACCTCGTATGACGTCCTCCCAGAACTGGACAACCATGCTGTAGTCATCATTCGTCTATAGCGCGGTTGTAAAGTGGTTAAATGGTGTTCTCCATATATAGAGCAGGAGTGACGGCTGTTTAAATTTGAGACCATTTTCACAGTCTTTTGTCTCACTCAGCTTGAATGGCTACCCTTTGAAGGAGAGCACTTGTTTGGTCCCTCCTATAGATAAGTACATCAAGGAGATCATGGGAGTTAAGTACTCTTTTCCCTCAGAAAAGTAAGGCTTGTGGTTCTGCATTTAGACCTTCAACTTCTGAGACTAGGAAGAAATTTCTTTCATTCCTCTCAGACCTCCAGCCCTACTCTGGAACACACTTTCTTTAAAAGTCATGGTCCTTCGAGCCCTCTTTCAGTGATGGGATGCGCCAACCTGTCATAGTGGGAAAGGGGCGATTTGTTGGCCTTTTCAGCCTTCTGCTTCAAAGAAAATCTTGCAAGGTTTGGGTCCAAGGTGTCATTTTCAGGGGCTACAAAATTATGTTCTGAACTCTGCCTCCTCCATGCCTCATGCTCTCAAATTTGCTCCTCTCCCTGGAAAGGCTGGCAGAACTTCTTGCTGTTGAGTAGCTCCTCTCACATGGCATCATTGTCTCAGTTTTGACAGAGAATAGCTTTCAGGGTTTCAAATTATCCCTGGCAAGCTCCAAAGTTCTTTATAGAATTGCCTAGTCAGTTATTGTCTCCATCCTACTGGGAGATTTTCCAGCCTCATTGGACATCCAAGATACTTACACATTCCCATTTTTTTCTTCTCTCCAATGCTACAGTGTATGCCTTTTTGCTGTGTGAAGTCAGCATAACCAATTTTACTGCCTTTACCTTTGTCCTGTCTGTTTCTTCACAGTAAGAGCTGTGAAAATGTGGAATAGACTCCCTCTACAGTTGGTTCTGGCCAGCTCAGTGGATTGCTTTAAAAAATTGCTTTTTCTTGGATACACAGAATATAACTGGATACTAACATTTATAGGTAAAGTTGATCCAGGGAATATCCGATTGCCTCTTGGGGGATCAGAAGGATTTTTTTTCCCCTGCAGGAGCAAATTGGATCATGCTTTGCTGGGGTTTTTTTTTTTTTGCATTCTCCCTATCACTGTCCGTCTAGGGAACAGTGCAGACGCTGCAGAGGTTTGGTTGGATCCTCAACCTTAGAAAGTAGATGCTGGGACCTGCCTCACTAATTGCAGTGCCTGGGCCTGACATTAGATATGGTCCTATCCAAAATATTTCTGCCTTGGGACAAACTTCTCTGTCCAGTCTTGTGCCCAGGCCCTTCACTCCCAGAGTTGACCCTCTAGTCATGCCTGTTTCACTTCAGACCATTGCAACTCAACATTCTGGCAGTGTGGGATAAACCGATTTTGTCCTTGGACTGTACCATGCTGCTGACCTGCAAGGCCAGACTGTCCCTGACTTGGGGGATTCTCACCCCAGGTCAGGTAAATAATTTTCCTAAAGATGTGAAAAGTTCTCATGATGGATGCCAGCCTATCGGGCTGGAGAGAAGTTCTGGATGCCTTTTCAGTGTAGGGGTCGTTGCAGTTAGCCTGTCTTCCCATTAACATCCTGAAATACAGGGCATACAAGTTGTCCTTCAGTGCTGGACCCCTCACTTGCAAGGCAATTCAACAAGAATCCAGTCAGACAATGCCACAGCCATGGTCTACATAAGCCATCAAGGAGGCTTCAGAAGCTGCAAAATGGGAAGCAAACTTAATTCTCTCCTGGGCTAAACTGCATGTTCTGGCCCCATCTACTGTCCACATCTGACGTAATAAATTGGTGTTCCATGCTTTTTGGTGTCCAGAATTAACAACAAACGCAGTGGAAACTCTGGTGAATCCATGGGATCAGTTCCATCTGATTTACACCTTTCTGTCCTCTAGCTTTTCCCTTGCTGCTCTGCAGGAATGAAATGGCATTCTGGTGATTCTCATTGTACCAAATTAGCTCAGAAGGATGTAGTACTTGGGACAGACTCATGGCAAAATTTTGTGGGCCCTTTTGACTTGTCTGGAACCTCTGTCCCAAAGGGTGGCCCTCCATCCTCCTCCTTGGTTGCTGATGTTAATGGCTTGCTGTTGTAGCCCGGTCCTGAGGGTCAAGGGTCTGTAGTAGTTGGTCATCCCTGAAACATGTGGTCTAAAGGATAGATTTCCTCTTTCCTGTTAGGGCACACTCTACTCTAAGGCACACTCTACCAGACAAAATCTGCGCTTTGTGGACTTTTCTGCCACTTAGTCTTCTGTTCACGTTTGTTTCTCCAGGTGGATGGTCAGGCCTCATGCGATGCCAGTTTTGAGTGCACGGTGGTACACACTGCTTTATGAGTTTTTTTTAGCCTTTTTTGACCTGTTAAGTGCAACCGTGGGGGTCTTTAATTGTACTAATGTGCATGGACACATAGGATAACACTGAGCTGCTTTGTAAAACAAAAAACTCCTGTAGAAGCAGTGATTTTTAAGTCAGAGTGCATGGAGCCTAAATGTTTAATCATCTCAAAGTGATGGCAAAACAAGTTTGTCAACACAGTTGACTACCAGGCCCTGCTCTCCTTTTTTTTAGGTTTAGGTGGCCAGCCCATTTTGTACTTTTTCATCATGTATCATTTTTTACCTAAAGGTTTGACAGTTTGTAAAAATACCCCTCCTCCGCAAAATGGTACATTTGTGGAAACCCACAAGGCCTGTAAAATAAAAAGCGCAAAAGGGGCTGCAGTCTATTGGGATCAAATAAATACATGTTTGCATTGGCAACACGGCACTGATATTTAAGCAGAGCTCCATCTGGAAGGGGAAGTTCCGCTTTAAGGCTTCGTCCCCGCTCCCTGTTAAGGATTCGCACCTTTGGAGAGCTGGTACCCCATATTGACAGGTACCCACTCCCACTTGTGCTGTGATTGCCTAGGCGATCAGAAGCAGAATTTTTCCTTCCCCCTCCTTCCCTGTAGTCTTCTGGGACATGTGACAGGTCCCAGAAGACTATGGGACCATTGAGAAAGTGCTGCAAGCTGTCACAGCTGGGTGCGAACACTGAAGATGTTGACGTCGGGGAGAGAGGACGGCTTGTGAAACTGTGGTGAGGACACCATGGGATTGAGGGACAGGTGAGTGTGTCTAGCTGCTGAATTTTAATTTTTTTATATTGTGAATGGAGCTCCACTTTAAGAATTAGGGCTGGTTCACACCAGAGTTGCACAGGAAAATAGTGCGCGTTCTGATGCGATTCCTGTGTGTTCCCCTGCAGTGTGATTTTTTTTTTTTTTTTTTTAAGCCAATTCATTTGAAATTGTGCTGGATCACACAAAAGGTAGTGCCTGCACTACTTTTGGAAAAGAGTGCTGCATTAAATCCTATGGTACTGCGGTATCATATGATCTTTTGCCCACAAACACATCTGTGTTTGGGGTGCCGTTAATATGTTGGGACCCGCAACAGACCGCAAAAGCAGTGCATTTTAAACGTGGTGTGGTAAATGTGCATGGAACGTGCCTTTTCCACACAAGGTTTGGTGTGAGCCAGCCCTTAGAAACCTGTTATCCCAGCAATTACCTGCAATGATGACACTCAGGTGTTCCAAAGGTTACATGGGGAAATATTTTTTGCAGGGAATACTACGATTGTCACCCCATACACCTAAAAAAAAATTACAGCTTTAAACTGAAATCTCAGGAAATTGTGTTCTTGTGTACCTTGGATGGATTTAATTCATTAATACTATCTGTATATCGTGTGTGTTTTTTTTTTTTTTTTGTTTCACAGGATGATCGAGCAAGTGCAAAGCAACCCTCCCAAAGAGGTCTTCTTCCACGTGGCAACGGAAATGTTTGCTGACGGCAACTTTAACTGGGGTCGCGTTGTAGCTTTGTTTTATTTTGCCTGCAAGTTAGTACTGAAGGTGAGTGATAGTTGCTGTGCAGACATGGATTACATTTTTTATTTATTATTTGGGCAAATTCAAATGAATTGTTTATTGCTAGCTTTCACTGACTGTAAATTAAACTTGTCATGATGGAAATATGGGTGTTGCTATTGCTAACTTGCTTGTCAATGTGTATAATGTCTACCTATCTATGGAATTACTGACCTAGAACAAGCGTGCATGTCCTGACTCCTGATGCTATTAGTTTGTCATGTTTTTTTTGTGTCTACCCCCTGTATTTGTCCTGGTAGCTGTTCTCGCTGAGAGTGTAAAAAAAACCCCCACAAAGTCTTGGTTGTCACTAGAGCAGGAATACATAGGTGGCGGCACTAATTCTGGTGACCCTGTTGACAACCATGGATTTCCTCACTTTGGAGGGATTTCTTCTCACTTCCTGCTGTGGCTATTGGACAGAAAGTGAAGGAAAATCTTACCAATAAGACACAGATGTAAAAAAAACTGACAGGTTTATAAACCTCCCTTACTTTATTCAAAATGGGAATAAAGTTGCATTGTTCTATTTTGTCAGGTGTCCCTACCAAGTCCTGAAGGAAGGTGAAGGTGACAACCCTGGAAGTTGCACCTTTTAAGCTTTTTTTAGTTATTCAGTAGTCTTCCTCCAGCTCTCCTTCATAAAGCTTTTTAGGTGTGTGACGGAAGCGTAGGCAGGACAGAACACACAAAGAAGATGGTAAACACAAAGCTTTATTGAACTATGGAAGGCACTCAATCAGGGCAGGAAGGTAGCGTCCAGGTACCCAAAAAGGGGAAGAGAGGGGAGGAGCCCAAAATAATTGTAATCCGGCCCACGATAGGGCGCTTCGGCTAGCGATGGCCCAAGCAATCACTGGGGGGCAGTCCAGGTAGCTATAATCGAGGCACGCAATGGGGCAGTTCAGATAAGGGTAATCCGAGCGCACAATAAGGACAGTTCAGGCAAGGGTAATCTGGGCATACAATAGGGGCAGTCCAGGGCACTCCACAACATGTGGCTTCTAGGGACAATCACGGTAAGTGGCTTGCGGACACTCAGCAGCAGACAGCTTCTAGGGGCACTCACGGCAAGCTGCTTACAGACACTCAGCAGCAGGCGGCTTCTAGGGCCACTCACGGCAAGCGGCTTGCAGACACTCAGCAGCAGGCGGCTTCTAGAGACACTCACGGGACTCAGCGGGGCCCTGGCTGTGGGGTCTGACCTCAGCACAGCCCTCACACAGCTCTCTAGGGACAACAGCAGGCTTACGGGGACTCAGCGAGATCTTGGCTGTGGGGTCTGACCTCCTCAGCACAGCCCTCACACAGCTCTCTAGGGACAACAGCAGGCTCACGGGGACTCAGCGGGGTCTTGGCTGTTGCGTCTGACCTCAGCACAGCCCTCTAGGGACAACAGCAGACTCACGGACAGTCCAGGCAGGGGTGATATGGGCACACACTAAGGCAGTCGGGCAAGGGCAATAGGGCGCACAATAGGGACAGTTCCACACTCCACTGCATGCAGCTTGTAGGGGCACTCACGGCAGGTAGTTTCCGGGGCAACCAGCAGACAATGTGCAGGAACACTCGCGGTTTCAGGGACGGCAGCAGTCAGTAGACAGGGACCCTCACAGCGGTCAGCTTTCCAGGGACAGCAGCAAACAGGGACCCTCAGAGCAGTCAGCTTTCCAGGGACAGAAGAGGAGTGGCAGAAGAGGAGCAGGCACTCCGTGACCAGGTGTTTTTCATAGGTTTCTGAATGCATTGCAGACATATTGCGGAACATTTTAAAAAACAATGCAGATATTTAACAGACTAGAACATGTCAAACCTATTTCATTTTTCACACTATAATCCACAACAGCTGCATAAATGTCTCAGTTGTGCCACCAAGACAACATCCACTTTTTGCTTCAGAAAAAGTAAATAATGGAAAAACATACATTATTTTCCCAAATAATCTTTCAGTACAGTGTATGAGCTTTTGGAACCTCCAACAGGAGAAGGAAACGCGTCACCAAATACAATTTAAAAATGAAGTCCTTCTGCCTCACTAGTCGGTTTTTGTGATTCCTCCTGCCAGAGGAATCTGGGTGAGGGAGGTCTCTGTTTCTCTATTGTTTTCTTCCACCCACAGCTTTACCTGCCTGGCTTCCCTGGGAGCAGCTGATGGGGTTCTCTGTTAGACTGCCCTCCAGGAGCCCTTCTCAGTACTGGAAAGAGATGGATTGGTTCCCTTTCTCAGCTGGATTTATCTAGTAGTTCCAGCAAAAGGAGTTTTCCTCTACTTTTAGGGGAGATGATGATTTTTTGTATGAGTATAACTGCTAATTCCCGGCAGGAGGGAATGCAATAGATTAAATCTTCAGGGGTTAAATGTCTCTGGAAGATGTGGATGTCCTTTTAAGGCCTGTTAATAGGCACTTAGTGCTCAAGGGGAAGTGTCTGTGCTTTTCATACTAGCATATACAGTTGCAAGAAAAAGTATGTGAACCCCTTGGGATTATGTGGGGTTTTTCATGAATTGGGCATAAAATGTGCTCTGAACGTCATCTAAGTCACAACAATAGAAGAACATAGTCTGCTGAACATAATACTACACAAACATTAGATGTTGCCATGGTTTAATTGCACATAACATGTAAACATTCACAGTGCAGGGAGGAAAAAGTATGTGAACCTTTGGACTTAATAACTGGTTGACCCTCCTTTGGCAGCAATAACCTCAACCAAACGTTTCCTGTAGTTGCAGATCAGACCTGCACAACGATCTGGAGTAATTTTGAACCACTCCTCTTCACAAAACTGTTTCAGTGTAGCAATATTCTTGGGATGTCTGGTGTGAATCGCTCTCTTAAGGTCATGCCACAGCATTTCAATCGGGTTGAGGTCAGGACTCTGACTGGGCCACTCCAGAAGGCGTATTCTGTCCTGTTGCAGCCATTGTTTCGTTGAATTACTTGTATGCTTTGGGTCATTGTCCTGTTGCATCACCCATCCTCTGCGGAGCTTCAGTTGGCGGACAGATGGTCGTACGTTTTCCTGCAAAATGTCTTGATAAACTCTGGAATTCATTTTCCCATCAATGACAACAATCCGTCCAGGCCCTGAGGCAGCAAAGCAGCCCCAAACCATGATGCTCCCTCCGCCATGTTTCACAGTGGGGATGAGGTTTTGATGTTGGTGTGCTGTGCCTTTTTTTCTCCACACATAGTGTTATGTGTTCTTCCCAAACAACTCAATCTTGGTTTCATCTGTTCACAGTATATTTTGCCAGTAGTGCTGTGGAACATCCAGGTGCTCTTTTGCAAACTTCAAACGTGCTGCAATCTTCTTTTTGGACAGCAATGGCTTCCTCCGTGGTGTCCTCCCATGTACTCCATTCTTGTTTAATGTTTTCCTTATTGTAGATGTGTCAACAAAAATGTTAGCATGTGCCAGAGATTTCTGTAGGTCTTTAGCTGACACTCTGGGATTCTTCTTTACCTCATGCAGCATTCTGCGCTGTGCTCTTGCAGTCATTTTTACAGGACGACCACACCTAGGGAGAGTAGCAACAGTGCTAAACTTTCTCCATTTGTAGACAGTCTGTCTTACCGTGGACACATGAACATCAAGGCTTTTGGAGGTACTTTTGTAACCCTTTCCAGCTTCATGCAAGTCAACAATTCTTGATCGTAGGTCTTCTGAGAGCTCTTTGCTGTGAGGCATGGTTCACGTCAGACAGTGCTTCTTGAAACCAATAAACCCAAAACAGGTGTGTGTTTTTTAAGGACAGGACAGCTGTCAGCAACACATCCAATATCATCACACAGATTGGAGTCAAGGTTAGCTCACTCCTGGCTCCAATTAGCTCTGGGAGAAGTCATTAAGCTACGGCCTCACATACTTTTTCCTCCCTGCACTGTGAATGTTTACATGTTATGTGCAATTAAACCATGTCAACATCTAATGTTTGTGTAGTATTATGTTCAGCAGATTGTGTTCTTCTATTGTTGTGACTTATATGACGTTCAGAGCACATTTTATGCCCAATTCATGCAGAACTCCACATAATCCCAAGGGGTTCACATACTTTTTCTTGCAACTGTATTAGAGTTTAAAGACGAAGTCGGGGATAGGCAAAAAAAATCACCCATTAATACACCACCCTACACAAAACACTAAGCAGTTAATACATTTGTGAAATTCCTTACCATTGAAGACAAAAGTCTAATTTTAATTTTCAGGAAGTCATCCGTGTAAATAAAAAATAACAGCATCGGCTATGCCAAGGAGGAAGTGTAACAGCAGGGATTACATCCTATCTTCTCCTCTCAGGAAACTACACTTCCCATCAGCCTTTGGGAATTGTATTACATGTGGGCCCACTTCAACAGAAAACACACCCACACATTCCACAGCTGACACTGGTATCCTTACATGTGATCACTCACCTTCCAGTCACAACAGAATAGGAACTTAATTCCCTGACATTCTGTTTTTAATCCCAGAATAAATATGGCCACATGCCCAGAATTACATTGTTTGTTTATCCGCTGTTGTCTGCTTAAATTTAAATATTAGAATTCTTCTTCCAGTTTTGTAACAGCTGCCGCTGCTGCTTGTATCCTTCCATGTAATGACATCCTCTTCCATGTAATGACATCCTCGGCCAGAACAGCAACAAAGCACTGGGACACAAGGCTCCATTCACGCTAGGGCGTGTCAAATCAAGGGCGGAATTGGCACAATTCTGCCTGCGATTTGAATACATGCTTCAAAAATGTGAAAATGAACAATTGTGTGTTCAGGTGCCATTCATGTCAGTGGCCCTCGAAAACACGGCATTTTTGCCGCGATCGCGGCATGGGTTTCCGTTCGACAAACACATTTTGCCGAGATTTTACCTGCAATTTTGCTGCATTTTCACTCATGATTTCATAATGATTTTGTGGCGATTTTACCCGGAATTGTACTGTGATTTTACCACAATTTGAAAACACGGGATCATGTGTTTAGGT